ACTTGAGACTTCAGTATCATCCATGACGCAGGTATATAAAACGAGAGATCTCCCCTTCACCCATCTCATTATGATATCTGTTGTTTGCTACATCACTCATTGTCCCAAACTGCAGAGGCTGCCTGACAGTTTTATGAACATGCTGATGGGTGAAGATCCGCCAAATAATGTGAAGCTGCGACAGGCCGGCAGCGGGTTTTGCAGGCAGTGGGATGTGGAGTTGGTGATCAAGGAGGGCCACATGTACTTGTCTCGTGGGTGGGAGAAGTTCTACCGTGCCTACGACCTGCAGCTGGGGTACTTCCTTCTCTTCAGGTACGACGACGACGCCACCATGCTCATCGTGAAGGTGTTCAACACGACTATGTGTCGCATGCGCTACGCTGGCGATGATGATGCTGGTACGTTCTGCCTCTTCTTATTCCTCTACATTTGGCTTTGTCTCACATCGATTGTTAACGGTCATTGTTGCATTTTGGACAGGTAATGGGAGCAGCAACAGCGACAGTGGCTATAGCCAAAGCAGCAGCGACTATGGCTGTAGCGAAAGCAGCAGCGATTCTGGCTGTAGCGAAAGCAGCAGCGATTCTGGCAGCAGCATAGACAACAAGAAGGATGATCCGGATTGGAGTGCGGGAGAAGAGGAGCAGAGTGGGGATGAGGAGCTGCAGGATGACGATGGGCATCAGGCTGAGGATGACCTAGCGCTGGTGGTGGCTGACCAAGGGCAAGAGATGGTGGTGGCTGACCATGGGCAATAGATGGAGGTGGCTGAGGATGACCTAGCTATGGTCGTGCCTGAAGGTGGCCTCGCGATGGTGGTGGTGCCTGACAATGACCACGCACCGGTGGTGGCGCCGGCGATCCCACAGCTGGGCGACATGACCACGCCAATTGTGGTAGAAGACTACATCCCACTGCCTCCACCGCCTCGCCGCTCTTGGCGCATCAGGGAGAGGAAGGAGAATGAGAAGGAGAAGAACAATGCATGAGAACTGAACTTTGTCAGGTATGTCAGATCTCCTATAGGTTAGTTATCCAAAATGATATATATATACTTAATTACCTATATTATCTCTAATATGCTAGTTTCCTATAGGTTAGCTTCATTTTTACCTAAGTTGGCTCTAATATGCTAACTTAGAGCTTATATGCTTAGTTTCCTATAGGTTAGCTCCAAAATAACTTATGTTAGCACAAAATGATCAAGTTTACATAATAAGCTTATAGTCTTTTTCTTATTCTTCTTCTTTTTCCAAAATGACATAGGTTAGCTTCATTTTACCTAAGTTGGCTCTAATATACTAACTTAGAGCTTATATGCTTAGTTTCCTATAGGTTAGCTCCAAAATAAATTATGTTAGCACAAAATGATCAAGTTTACATAATAAGCTTATACTCTTCTTCTTATTCTTCTTCTTTTCCAAAATTCTTCTTATTCTTCTTCTAGTGTTCTTCTTCTTCTAGTATTCTTCTTTTTCTTCTTCTAACTTCTTGTTTATCATTTTGCAGATTTGATTTAATTCACGGAAGCTTGCATGGATGGAGTGCTTCTTTTCCATTTGTGTTTTTATTTTGTATCAATGTGAAACTTTTGTGAATTGATGGATAACGGTGTTGGATGAACAATGTGAAACTTTTATAATATGTAACGATGGAACTATGTGCTGGCTATGTATGTATATATGATGGAACTTGTGTGTTGGCTATGTATGTATATATGATGGAACTTGTGTGTTGGCTATGTATGTATATATGATGGAACTTGTGTGTTGGCTATGTATGTATATATGATGGAACTTGTGTGTTGGCTATGATTGTATATATGATGGAACTTGTGTGTTGGCTATGATTGTTATATGGATGCTTGTTGTATATATATGTGTTGGATATCTCATAGGTGAAATAGTGACCTGAGATTAAGAAAAAAAATAAAAAAAATTGTTACTAATGGCGCACTACCATGTGGTGCGCCATTACTATAGAAGACACTAGTGGCGCACTGCATGGTGCGTCATTAGTATACCAGATACTAATGGCGCACCAGTGGTGCGCCATTAGTAAAAAAATACTAATGGCGTGCTACTAATGGCGCACTGGTAATGCGCCATTAGTAGGCAAAACCAGTGTGCCATTAGTAGGCCTTTTCCTAGTAGTGGGCAGACCAGATGGCATGAGACTGTTCTAAGGATGCTACTTGGATGAGAACTTCCTTGGAGAGATTCCGCAGAAGATAGGCCACGATCTGCTGATCCTGGACAAGCCAGGGGTTGTAGGAGGGGTTGGGGGCGATCTAATCTTTCCCTTCAGAGTTTTTGGTCACGATGGCTTTGGGTGGTTCAGGAGTTGATTGGTCGATGTGCCCATATAGCCCTGCTCCCATAATCTGGGAACGAGCTTGGGCTTTCCAGAGGATGTAGTTGATGCGATTGAGTGGCTCGGAAGTGGTGTAGTTGAGGCCAGGGGAGGAAACTTGCGATGAGGAGGACATGGCTGCGCAGGGGGAAGGTGATGGCTGCGAGGGGGAAGGGCTTAGCTAGATGTGATGAAAGAGGAGGCTCTGTATAGCATGTCAAAGATGGGTAAAGCGTCTCAACCCTCCTAAGAGAGCCCGCATGGTCTTATATTGATTGTGCGAGAGAAACCCTCTCGTAGGTGTTTACAGAATCAACGATAACAGAAGAAAAGATAGGAAGTTAAAGAGAGAGAATAACTCCAACTAACTCTATCTAATCTAGGGATATAACTTGTCCTACAAGAGAGAATAAACAGAGAGGGAAAGAGGCGTGACAACATGTCACCGTAACAATATATTTGACACAAGACACATTAGTTGGTCACATTATGACTCGTAAATTATTTTCGTTTGCAAGTGTTTCTCATGCTCACGCTGACGACGAGCCTCTCCTTTGCTCATTACTCATTACTACTACTCCATTTGGTTAACAGAAGAACTCTGAACTGAAATGCTATACATACTGTTGTACGCGTATACATCCAACTAACTTTTCTTTTTGACCCTAATAGGGAATACCGTGCCGAAGGCTACGTAGAGGGTCCCCTGTGGTTGAAAACGACGACGACAATGATTTCTGCTCGATCTTGCACTTCTGATGACGCTCATAATGGACAGAGTCTGAGTCTCCCGCTGCTCTGTTCTGCTCTGCTCGTGGAAACACTTCCTACCACAAGTGTTGAGCAAGAAGCATGTGTATGTATCCTTGAAGGTCTGGACTGAAGTCTCAGCTCAGGTGGCCAAGAGAAGTATATAAAATAACGTCAGTATTCTCTGTGTTATTGACTAATTGTTGTCATTACCTGCGTATTTTTTTCATGCTAGTATTCTTTTCTTTTCTTTTTTGCTTTCGGAAATGCACCATCCTCCCTTTTCTTTCCTTCTTTTTCTTGAGAACATGAAGATATTATCAGATTCCGTCGACATCGGAGGTGGGCTATATGTTAAGCAAATGCAGACTTTTGGATCATGCATGTATATGTTTCCTGCAATTAACAGCAAAAGAAAGAAGGTCCGGAAAACAAGGGATGAAACTAGACAGCTATGTTTTCTACTCCCTCCATTCCTAAATATAAGTCTTTTTAGAGAATCCACTATGAACTACATACAAAGCAAAATGAGTGAATCTACACTCTAAAATATGTCTATATACATCCGTATGTAGTTTGTAGTGGGATCTCTAAAAAACTTATATTTAGGAACGGAGGGGGTACTATTTTGGGCCCAGTTGAGGCCATCAAAGTCAGCTGGTCTTCATGTAAATTCATTTTGTACAGCCAACCACTGCCTGTACACAATTAAGAAACAAAGTCAGACTCAGCCAGCAGACAGACGGTGCCTTCATTGGTCGAGACTCTCTTAAGAAAAACAAATCAACTGTTACAAAGAATCGCTGGCTATCTCACTAGCTTAATGCGTTCGATGGTGATAGTTGAGCTGCCAAATGATTAAAATTCATGTGTATACAACGGATATATTTATCAAATCAAGATGCTTAATGAGATTCCAAATGGATATGTATAACAACTTGCCATGTTGAGATGAGATTACATCCAGCTGCCCAACTGCTGGTTTTTGTTAAATTTCACCTCGAGCTTGCAGATACCAACTAATTCAATTGCTTTCCAAGTAGCTAGCAAATGTGCGTGACACAACTTTGATCAGAAGAACACCGGACTAACAACCATGTATGTCTTTTGTGCTTGATACTATATCAGCACATGGGTAGAAAGTCTTTTGAATCTGCACAATACAGAATGGGGACTGCCTGAAAACAGATGCTTATATGTCCAACAAATACTAGCAAAATATGGAAACAAATATGAATAACCAACTCAATCACTCAGAAGATCCTTGTTTTTCTAGTGAGACACCCGACTGGTTAGCATGCACTTGACAATTAGACTCAGAATACTTCACAGATACAAATTTTAGCGCCCCACCCTCCTCACAATAATGAGGAGATAGCTTAGCTTGTGCTGACAATACCCATTCCCTTTTCCTTCTTATGCTCCTTCGATTAACAGATCATGTATGCTGTCATTACATCATGAATTTTCTTTACCGAAAAAGGGTTTCCCCCCCTGGCCTTCATGAATTTTCTTTATGCACCCAACCATTAGATTGAGATCTGTTTAGTAACCAGCAAAGCAAATGAAGGCCAGGAAACAAGGACAACTACAGAAGGGCGATGAGCCATCCAACCAGTGGAGAGAGGGCACGCTGCACAAGCTCTTGGTAACAATTCATAGACATGTCCGAAGAATACTAAAATATGGAAATACATATGTATAACCAACTCACATCTGAAATACACACGATTTGCTCATGGTCGAGCCAAGCTCACTTGGATCCAATTCTTCATGAACTCGGATGCAGATTTACATGCAGTTCTTCCCACTTGTTTCTTTTTGTTCATTCCCCAAAAAAAGTCGAATTTATACAAAGAATCACATGACATCATGTATGTGGTGTGTGGCTATCATTATACAGGGCTTGATATCGCCACTTCGGTAATTCCCACAGAAGAAGACTCTGTAGGGCAACATCCGGATGATGAGGACATATTTGCACCCTTCCTACTTCCTAGTACTGCTGGTTTCCTAAACCACCAGGAAGCCAAGCGTTTCCACCAACTTCCGTTTTCTCTGCGGAAGAACACTGACGCTAATGCGTAGAATGCGATGTAGGCTAACACAGGGATGACAAGGAATATGACGTTTTTGGATGCTCCCCATTTCCTAGTACTGCCTGCTGCGTAGGCCACTAGGAGACCAACCATGTCCAGCAAAATGGCAATATGCATTAGCCAGAGTGGCGGTTTGCGTTTCTGGAATAATGTCGTCCATGGAAGGAGCAGGACAATAACAACGACTGAGGCCATGAAGGAAGTGGAGTTGCTGTAGAAGAAAACAGCGTACCGATGCTTGTTGATGTCGTGGAGGACGGGGTAGCCAGCAAAGTGTTCGTTGTTGTTGTCTTGCCACAGACCTCCTGGTGGTTTTAGGCCAACCTGGTATGTCATACTTGCACCCAGGATTCCTAGCAACATCAAGTATTCAACGGTTTCTTTCTCTCTGTTGCTGCTGTTGGTACTGCTGCTGGTTGAGTTGTCGCTGCTGATGCTGCGGGTGGTGGTGGTGGTGATGGTGATGGTGGTTGTGGTAGTGGTGGCGGTGGCGGCACTAGTGCTAATGATGGTTCTAGTACTGGTGTTGCTGATGATTTTCATGCCACCATTGCTATGAACTGCTTCATCTTGCCTATGTCTACGAGCTCGGGATTTGATGATGAACCAGAAAATGGCTACTAGGGAGGCTATAAAGACTAGGACCATGCCAACCAAGGTTAATACATAGATGGATGTTTTGAGTTGTCGAGAGCTTCCAGAAGCATAGGCACCCATGAGGCCAAACATACCCACCAACATGCATACGTAGAGCGCATAACAACGTATACCTGGCCTGTATAGCTTCGGATTGACGAGAAGAAGAATGAGGGTTATAGACGCCATGAAGCTTGTCGCATTGCAGTAGAAGAATGCATTGTAACGGCGAGGGTAATTGTCATGCAGGATTGGGAAACCTGCACGGCGACCAAGCTCTCGGTCATCCACTAACCAGAAGCCACCAGGTGGGGTGAGGCCAGCTTGGTAGGTGAGGGTAGCAGCCAAGATAGCAACCAGCAGCAGCACCTTGCGCTTGTCATCCAGATCCTTTACTGCATGATCACCCGCTGGCTCAGGTGCATGGTCTCTTATGGTGATATGCACTATCACGTAGACGAGGACGAGCCCTGCCAGGGCGACGATATAGATGGATGTGTTTACATCCCTAGTGCTCCCAGCACCATAGGCAGTAACGAGGCCGAATAGGTCCAGCACCAGGGTTGCTTCCAGTGTGTGCCGGTTGAGCAGAAACTTGCTCTGGAGCATCATGATGACGACCAAGGATGTGACGAAAGCTGCCGAGTTGCTATAGAAGAACACTCTATACCGAGTAGGATGTGTCATTTGGAGGACTGGGTGGCTGATCTTGTGCCCATCCCGGTTATCTAGCCAAAGGCCTCCGGGTGGATCTAGTCCTGCTTGATATGTGATGGTCACCACAAGAGTAGCAAGGAGCATAACAAGATAGCGGGTGTTCTGTTGGTGTAGTTCATTCGTGCCTCGGCAGGTGCCTGCAAATTAATTTTCAACTGATCAATAAGATATGCAACGAACTACTAAATAAATCAATAATTTTGTATATGCAACCAACTACTAAATAAATCAATAATTTTCAACGGATCAATCAGATATGCAACCAACTACTAATATGTATCTACATACAAGAAAATCATCTTATGCACTGATAATTAATATACATGTAGCGTGCAATATAGCTATTCTACGCTTCATTGAGACAAGAAAAGTCTAGAGTAAAAAATCGCAATCGATCAGTAAAATAAATTGTGATCAATATACGCTTCATGATGTAGTAAAGTAAGTTGATAAATTGTTCAACACGATGTATTTTTTACTATGGATGTAGAATAACCATTTGATACACTAGTTTGGATATATAGATATGGCCATACCTGAAGGAATGCCAACCAGCTTCCTGAAGCGCGTTGAAACATCATGAAGCTTGTCCGTGAGTAGTTTCCAACCATTTTTGTAGTAAGTAACAAACCCCAGCAGTAGGCATACGCCGGCAGGGACCGCAAGGACAAGAGCGGTATTGTCAGACTCCCTGCAGCCCCCGGCAGCATAGGCCCCCATAAGGCCCAACAGAGCAACAGCGATCAACACGTAGGGCGCCGCCAATCCTACCTTGAACCATCCTACAGTGAACATGAAGTTCTTGCTCAGCTTCTCCTTGAGCAGCTTCCTCTCCAAGAGCAGCACGATGATGAGCAGGGACACAGCGAACGAAGTGGTGTTGCAAACGAAGAAGGAACGGTACCGGCCACGGGCTTGTAACACCGGGTCGCTCAAAAGGTGCCCGTCTTGGGTGCTGGTCCAGAACCCACCAGGTGGGCTCAGCCCGGCGACATATGTGATGGTGACTGCGAAGGTTGCCAGTAACATTAACACATTGATCTGCTCCTTCTCAGCTCGTTTCCTGGCGGGGTCTGTGAGTACAATCAACGCGTGCATCTTCGTCTTGGCTCGCTTTATTTTGAGCAACATCTTGAGTCGCTTCATGGCTTTGGAAGTGGAGTTGGAGTGGACCTTATCGTCATCACCACTGGAGTCAGGGACCCGACCATCCCCATTGTTGGTGCCGTTGGACTCAGGGATCCCACCGTTCCCATTGGCGGTGGGGTTAGAGTCAGGGACCACACCATCTCCATTGGTGGTGGTACTGACCTTGACCGTGCACCAGACGTAGAGGAAAACAAAGATGATGATCAACACCAAAGAGGAGAAGATTACCACCGCATAGATGGTTGTGAATGCGTCCCGGCAGCTCCCAGCACCGTAGGCTCCCATGAGGCCGAGTAGGTCGAGCATCATCACCATCCGCAGCGCCACTGTCCAGTAATGCTTCTTCTTCGGCAGGACGATGACGATGAGGGAGACCACGAGCGACGCGGCGAGCGCGGTGGCGTTGCAGTAGTAGAAGGAAAGGTACCGACGGTAATGGGTATCCCGTAGGATCGGATCGCCGGCCATGCGCCCTTCCGGGTTGTCCTGCTCCCAGGACCCACCCGGCAGGTTCAGCCCGGCGACGTACGTCACCGTCGCCACCAGAGTCGACAGAAGCAAGATCTGCTCCTTGAACTCGTACAGTTTCGAGTCGTCGCCTTCATCTTCATGATCAGTGCGCTTGCGGCCATGGCCATACTGCTGCTCTAAATCCTCAGTGGCCATGGAAGGCATCTGCCTAATTTGCTATCAGCTGGATGGCTTCTGGCTGAATTTATATATCATCCTACGGCCCAAGCCAATGCATATTGCCAAGTCAAGAGTCAATGCACGGTGGCTTAGCTGTCCTGATGTGAACTTTGGGATCATTTCCCCATATTTTGTGTGACTAGACAAGACTAGCACTCAATGGTCAATTTTATATCTTCCATCTTGTCCAATTTGTTATCCCTTTGTGTGACCGGACAAGACTCGGCAACTTCCTATCTTCTTCGCCTAATACATAATTGAACACTCCCAACTTGCATTAGAATTTAGAAATGTACAGCCGCATTCATACATGATTTTTTTTGTCGCTGAGTTGTACTATTGGCGCACTCGAATCAATCATGCACGAACCACTGTGTCTTATGCGAAGTCATAGTTCAGACTGCTAACTCAGTCAAATGTTAGATCGGTAGAAAAGTTGTTCATGATACTAGATCAGTACATGGGAATTAAGTTTGGATTACGACCATGGTGGATCTGCTTAGATAAAATTATAGATACAGTAACTTATAAGGACACATCCGTTGTTATTTGTAGATATGACCATGAAGGCCTAACCAGTGAATTCGTCGTCTATTGGCGATGATACTGCTACAACTACCAATCATTGCATAGCTGATGGGGTGTGTTGGGATCAGTGCTGGGTAGCTGGAACAGAGAGCCCTCCCACATGTAAACTTGGAATCAATTGGATTATATATTGATAGATAGGTATAGCTTGCATATGTAATCAGAGAGTGGTGTGGCGATTTTATATCAATATGGCTTCACGGTGAGAGATCTGACCCCACAATACATGATTAAACATACTCCCAACTTGCAGTTAGAAATGTATGATCACGTTCATATACATATCATCATGTCTCTGACGAGAATACAGTATTATTACTAGCGGGTTGTTTAATCTATCGTGCACGAACTACTGTATTTTACTTCTCTGCATTCATAAGAAGCTCAATTCTTTCTGGTGGCCATATGAACATAATGTTTTTTTAAGGCTATTGTGTTGCTACTGGCAGCATACTGCCACAAAATTAATACAATACATACCTGTTCAAACCATTGACATTAGGAGAGCAATGCTGCATCATCCACGTTATCATCATGATGTCACATTCGCAGCAGCAACGGTGTCATCCACATTATCATCTTAAGGCACAGGCAGGCATCGCACATTAGGACCGAATGGTTGCTTCATATAATTTCCCGTTGACTTGATACATATGAGATACATATATATGCTCGCATCAGGGTCTCTTGCTCCGGTCGACGCCTTAACTCTGACACCATGTCTGCTTGTATGTACCTCTCGATTGAATCCCCTTCCAATTGTTGGGCTCGATTCCGGTTTGTTGTCACAATATATTCCCTTCCAGGGAAGATGTCCATCTTGCTTCTTCAACTCGATTGCCGCTACCTTCTTCAACTCGTTGCTGGTATACATCGCTGCAAATCGCCATGTGCTGGTTCATCGCAAAGTTTGTCGGTCATTTCCGTTTGTTATAACTGTTCATACGAATGTCTCTTCGTACCCAAGTATAAGTTGTTCTAACTATCGTCTCCAAGCACTAGTTCTTTTTCATATCAGTTTTTGGTCTCTAAGACTCTCACCATTACCAACTGGGCTCCTCTTGTGTTTTAAAATTTGTTGAAGCCCCCTTTACATTTTACACGAAGTTAGAATTTCTCAACCCAGGACAAGCTGGAGCATGGCATGATCAAACCTATGATGCAACCAATGCTACTGATGGTGCATTACCTGATTTTCTGCTGAAGGTTAACAGCGAAGAGCACCATGGATGAAGGTATAACCCATGGCTAACCTCCTATTGCTTTCTCTGTATCAGTGTACTACATGCTACGGAGAAATTAGTGTGCACAATGTGATAGCATTTCAATATCTCAGGAATCTTGGTACCTATGAACTGAAGCAAACAAAACATTCCAGCCATCCAGTGCTTGCCAAAGAACACTGAATGTTCTGAAGTGGATTTGCAAGCTGCGGGGTCCCTTTCCGAGCCAGGACAGCAGGACACCGTTTGCATCTGAGGTTCAAACCATGAAGTGATCATACTGATAAAATGATAACCGGCCAGTGCATCTGCAAATCCTTTTTATTGTTGACATTTCAGATTTTCCATATGCTTACAGTTCCTGCACCGTTTTCATTTTGTTAACATGCAGGTACTGATGGAATGAACCAACGCTCTGCCTTACTCGGCTGGAGGAAAATGCAATGTACTACACCATATAAGATGCCTCTGTTAATTAACCTGCACATATTGACATGCCGCGACTGGCTATCGGGCTCAGATTTCCACGTTCGCTGCTGGTGGCCTTTGATATGCGAACGGTGAAGCTAACTGAGACGAATCCTGATACTTCACCGCTGCCAATAGCAGAGGAGAGTGGGTCTCAATGCAACGGAGGCAAGGTAGCGAGCTGCAACGCCATTCTGAGATCTCAGATAGAATTTACAAGTGGCAACTGCTGGCCTAGATGGCAACAGTTCTTCAAACACACCTGATGAGAAGACAGATCCTACTTCACTCTGTTTTTATAGAGACGATTAGTTGCTCTCTATTTGTTGGTGCCACTATGTTTGTGCTTGTTTGTGAACAAAGAATGATGGTAGCATATACTGTTATCCAAGGTCAGCCAAATTTGATTTGATGAAATAACACCCCTGCCATATATGGCATTAACTCTGCAATTTCATCGGTTTCGCTTTGCAAATTACAGTTTACCAGCAAAAAGGCCTCGTGGCGGTATCAGACATCCATAGTTTTATTTTGGGAGGAGCAGCATTTTCCATCCACAATCTGTGACCATGTTTCCCCATTTCAACTGTCGATAGTTTCAGACCGGGAGCCTGCAGGCTAAATTGAGCAATCAGCAGACTGACTGAGATACAGACCAGAGCTTTGTGATTTTCTGAACCAACATACAATTCATGTGTGTGTGGGCAGAACAGCGAAAACATCATCGACGAACACACGCTTGCACCCACCACGGATCAAGAGGACATGGCACCCCACACAGCGCCTATCCACCTTCAAGATAAGCAGGTAGCTAAAACTCGGATGTATCTTTCATGTTCGGACAGAGAAGACGTTCGTTCCAAAAAAGGTAAGAAATCTGATTAGGGGATTTGATGGATATTTGGATCTTCAAGAACTTATTCTTGGCAATCGCAGAGTTGTAAGAGCAGCAGTTATTCTGAGTTGCTGAACTGCTCAGCATTGTCGTTCTGCCATGCATTTTGGTTATATATGCAGCCTGACATCAAACTGGGGTATGTTCATGGATTAACATGTAAAGCAAACGAAGGCCGGAAATTAAATAGGACCAACAAACAAAAGGGAGCCCTCCGGCGAGCGGAAGGAATACCAAAGCATGGATACACATATGAATAACTAACTCATTATATCTCAAATATACATATGGTGCTCAATATCTCATAAACTCTGTCCACATTTACGTATTCAGTTCGTCCCACATGTTTCTGTATGTTGTTCCACAAAAATTGTAGCACCGAATTTGACCTGACAAAGAATCAGTTGGTTTCCTGATGTGGTGTGGCAGTCACTCTAGCAGTGGGGGGCGGAGTCTGGTTTGGCGGTTCCACATGGTCTTTCCTGTGGTAGAAGACCGAAGCTGTTACGTAGACCGCAATGTAGAGCAACACAGGGATGACGAGTAACATGACGTTTCTGGAGGTTTCCCACTCCCTAGTACTGCCTGCTGCATAGGCAACTAGGAGGCTAAGCATGTCCAGCAAAATGGCTGAATGCATCGGCCAGAGTGACAGGTCGTGTTCATGGAATGTCAATGGGAGCAGCATGACGACCACCACGATCGACGCCATGAATGAAGTGGAGTTGCCATAAAAGAAAGCATTATACCGGTGCTTGTTGGTGTCGTGGAGGATGGGGTTGCCAGCATAGTGCCCATTCATGTTGTCCTGCCATAGGCCGCCTGGTGGCTTTAGGCCAGTCTGGTATGTCATACTTGCGCCAAGGATCCCTAGTAACATCAAGTATTCAAGTCTCTCTTTCTCTTTACTGCTGCTGCTGTTGCTGCTTGTTGCTGTTGTTTGTGCTGCTTGTGGTGTCGTTGTTGTTGCCGCTGCTGTCAATCTTGCTGCTGTGGTTGTTGTTTCTGTTGTTGGTGCTAGAGTTGATGTTGTTGTTGCCCCTGCTGTCAATCTTGCTGCTATCATTGTTGTTGTGGTTTTTGTTTCTGTTGTTGGTGCTACCGTTGATGTTGTTATTGCCCCTGCTGTCAATCTTGCTGCTATCATTGCTGTTGTGGTTGTTGTTTCTGTTGTTGTTGCCCCTGCTATCAATCTTGCTGCTATTATTGCTGTTGTGGTTGTTGTTTCTGTTGTTGCTGCCGCCGCTGCTCTTGTTGCTGCCGCCGCTGCTGTTGTTATTGCAGCCGATGCTGTTGTTGCCATTGTTACTGCCGCCGCCACTGCTGCTGCTGCTTTTTTTCTGCATCTATAGATGTACCAGAAAATGGCTACTAGCAAGGCTATGAATGCTGATACAGCGGCAACCAAGGTTAACAAAATGATGGAGGTTTTGAGATGCCGGGAGCTTCCAGCAGCATAGGCACCCATGAGGCCAAACATGCCCACCAGCATGCACACATAGAGTGCATAACAACGTATACCTGGCCTGTATAGCTTTGGATTGATGAGAAGAAGGATGAGTGTTACGGATGCCATGAAACTCGCTGCATTGCAATAGAAGAATGCATGGTAACGAGGAGGGTAATTGCCAAGGAGGACTGGGAAGCCCGCACGACGACCAAGCCCTTGGTCATCCGCTAACCAGAAGCCACCTGGAGGAGTGAGACCAGCTTGGTACGTCAGGGTAGCAGCCAAGATAGCAACCAGTAGCAACACCTTACGCTTGTCATCGAGAACCTTTACTGCAGCATCACCACCTGCTGGCTCAGGGTCATGGTCTCTTATGGTGATATGGACAACAACATAGACAAGGACAATGCCCGCCAAGGCAATGATGTAGAAGGATGCGTTTACATCCCTAGTGCTCCCGGCGCCATAGGCAGTAATGAGACCGAATAGGTCCAGTACTAGGGTTGCTTCTAGTGTGTGCCGCGTGAGCAGATACTTGCTCTGGAGCATCATGATGACAACCAACGATGTGACAAAAGCTGCTGAGTTGCTGTAGAAGAACACTTGATACCGAGTAGGATGTGTTGTTTGGAGTACCGGGTGGCCGATTGTATGCCCATCCCGGCTGTCTAGCCAAAGTCCGCCAGGTGGATCGAGTCCTGCTTGGTAAGTGATGGTCACCACAAGAGTAGCAAGGAGCATAACAAGATAGCGAGTGTTTTGAAGGTGTAGCTCGATGTCCGTGCTTATGGAGGTGCCTGTGGGTATTTATTTTCAGTCAATTAACGATGTAAATAAATAGTAAATAAATCTTTGTGTAGCATGGTAATACTGAATAGTAAATAAATAGTATTTCAATAAATCAAGCATGCAACTAAATAGTAGATAAATCTAGAACGTTGTATACTTTAAAAAATAAGAATATAATGCGTATATTGAGGTACTTGAAAATCATCATGTGCACATAGATTGGTCTCTTAAAATGCTAAATTAATATACATGTATAAACATATATAGTTTTCTTAGATTTTATAAAGGACAAAAATATAATAGTTAAAAGTTGTGTGGTCAAAAATATTGACCACATCCAAAATGGTAAGTTATTTTTCATAACCGGAGTAACATATACTCCCTCCATTCCACAATGTAGTGCATATGCATTTATTCACAGTGAAACTTAGCAAACTTTGATCGAGTTTATAGATAAAACTATCTATATCTGCAATACCAAACATGTACATCATGATGTATGTATCCAACGATATGTATTTAGTATTCTAGATGACCTATTTTTCTCTATAAGTATGGTCAGAGTTTATAAAGTTTGACTTTTGTTAAAATCTATATGCACTACATTATGGAACGGAGGGAGTATTAGGTAAGTAGGTAACCAGCCATACCTCGAGGAGTGTTGACCCGTCTCTTGAACCATCCTAAGACATCACCACACTTGGTCGCGAGTCCTTCCCAACAATTTGTGCAAGTAACAACCACCAGTTGGAGGCACACACAGACAGGAACCGCAGCGGTGAGGGTAAGGACAAAGATGGTATTGTCAGCCTCCCTGCAGCTCCCGGCAGCATAGGCTACCATAAGGCCCAACAGAGCGACGGCGATCAACACATAGGGCACTGTGAATCGCACCGTGAATTTTTCGCTCAGCTGCTTCTTCAGCAGCTTCTTCTCCAAGAGCAACACGATGATGAGAAGGGACACGGCGAACGAAGTGGTGTTGCAAACAAAGAAGGCACGGTACCGGCCACGAGCTTGCAACACCGGGTCGCTCAAACGGTGTCCGTCCTCGGTGCTGCTCCAGAACCCACCAGGCGGGCTCAGCCCAGCTACGTATGTGATGGTGACAGCAAAAGTTGCGAGTAACATCAACACATCAATCTTCTCCTTCTCTTCCTTCTTGGCGTCGACGAATGACTTCACCACACTGTTCTGTTTCTGGATTCGCCTCACGCTGAGGAAGAATCTGGACTTGGAGGTGGAGTTCAAGCCAGGGGTCGCGATGGGACGATTGGAGTTAGAGTTGGAGTTGGAGGGGAACTTATCATGACGATGGAGCCAGAGGTAGAAGAAACCAAAGATGATAATCAATACCAAAAAGGAGAAGACTACCACCGCGAAGATGGTTGTGAATGTATCCCGGCAGCTCCCAGCGCCGTAGGCACCCACGAGGCTGAGTAGGTCGAGCATCATGACCATCCGCAGCACCACTGTCGAGACAATGTGCTTCTCCTCCAGGATGATGAGGATGAGGGAGACCACGAGCGACGCGGCGAGCGCGGTGGCGTTGCAGTAGTAGAAGGCGAGGTAACGGCGGTAGTGGGTGTCCCGGAGGATCGGATCGCCGGCCATGTGACCTCCCGGGTCATCCTGCTCCCAGGATCCCCCGGGCAGGTTCAGCCCGGCGACGTATGTCACCGTTGCGACCAGAGTCGACAGCAGCAGGAGCTGCTCCTTGAACTCATACAGCTTTGAAACTGTACGAGGCTCGCCACTGCCATTGACAGTGCCTCCAGTTTCAAGGTCGTCGGCCATGGAAGCCGTTTGCTTAATTTGCTTATGAAATGGAAGGCCTCTGGCTGAACTTATATATATATATCATCCTACACCCCGACAGCCAATGTGTATTACCAAGTCAAGAGTCTATGCACGGTGGCTTAGCTGGAGTTGTTGAGGGCCTGCCCACATGTGAACTTGGAATCCTTTCCCTATATTTTGTGAGACTAGACAAGACTAGCGCTCGGGCGGTCAATTTTGTATCTTTCTTCTTGTCTGGGCGACAAGACTGGGCAACTTCCCACCTTCTTCGCCTAATACAGAATTAAACATTCCCAACTTGCATTATAATTTAGATTTAGAAATGTACAGCCACTCGAATCAATCATGCACCAACCACTGTGTTTATAGAATAGATCGGTATGCGAGATTATAGTTTATACTGCCAAATCAGTCGTACGTTGGAAGGGTAGAAAAGTTGTTCGTGATACTAGATAGGGAATTAAGTTTGGATTACGACGGTGGTAGATTTGCTTAGATATAATAAAATTATAATGATCCATAGACCATAACCTGTATACATAGATGCAGTTAGGAAGATCTATCGGTTGTTATTTGTAGATACAACAATGATGTTCTAGATGTGACATGTCTAGTTACAATCATGAAGATCAATTGGTTGTGATCTGTTTGACACAGTTATGAAGATGGTCTATCAAATACCATCGTGTTATTTACATTTACGGAGATGTGATCTATTTACAGCTACCTCGTTCTCAGACTTGAACACTATTTGCCCCTTTGCTTTGCCATAGCTGTGGAGCAGGACCGTGATAAATCGATCAATCAGTTCTCCCTTGGTATCGTCAACTACCAGTCGTTGCACAACTGATTGGGCGTGTTCGGGTCAGTGCTCGGTAGCTGGAATAGAGAGCCCACCCACATGTAAACTTGGAATCAATGGCTTATATATAGTTTTCATGTGTGTTCAGAGAAAGACATGGCAATTTCTATATCCCTATGGCTTTTCAGAGAGACCTGATTAAATATCATCAACTATGTACTCCCAACTTGCAGTTAGAAATGTACAACCACATTCATATCATCTCGTCTCTGACCAGAAAAAAGTACAGTTACTAGCGCGTGGTTGAACCCATCGTGCACTAACATTGTATTTACTTCTCTAGATGCCATGCATTGATATGGAGATAAATTCTTTCTGATTCATTCATGCAAAGGATTATTAAAGAAAACCAGACGACGGGAGTGAATTTTTGGTTCTTGGGATCCCGAGAAACTGTTATCTGCCAGTTATGCATGGAGATCGTTCAAAGTATTGCGCTGTAAAACTACAAACCCAGAATACTGTTGGAATTTCACCCACGGATCGATCACATCAAAACACCATGAACACGCGCACACAAACTTTAGCCAAAGGCACGTGTCGTGCCTCTCTTGTTTCTATTTCTTTTCTCCTTTTCTCTCGATACAAATATTGCAGCCCTAGTTGTGTATATATGTAACAAGCTAATCGACAGAGCAACCATAAACAGAAACAACATAGCAAGCTAATCGACACAAACTAGCACCTTATACGAGATAGACTAGTACTGCTTCGTACGTAGTACTACTTCTAATCCTATCAGGACTTGACCGCATTAGGCACGCACGTACACAGCCTGGACTAGCTCGGACATGCCGACAATGGAGTAATTAGACTGTAGAAGTACTCACGTGTATACTTAGATAAGATTACCTAACAAATACATACTTAAAACTTGATGTAATGCTAGTGTGTGGTGGCCATATGAGCATATGCTTTTCAGCTGGATTAGCTTGGAACAGAATCTTTCTATAAGGTTATTGTGTTGCTACTGACAGAGTACGGACACCAAAAAAAAAAAAAAGCAACGCATACCTGTTCAAACCATTGACATTAGGACAGCAATATGGTGCGACGGTCGTGTGCACCGTCACATCATCCACATTATCATCATGATGTCACATTCACAGGCTGGCGTTGCGCATTAGTACCGAACAATCGCTTCAGATGAGATAATTCCCGTTGACATTAAGCTGCGTGTGAAAATATCAATCCGTCAGTCCATTGTCAATCATCTAAGTTCCCACATTTTGTTTCCTGAAGTTTACAGTCTTTCAATTAGATTGATTTCTTTTATAATTTAGAGTTTGTTTTAGGAAGGAGTGCATATTAGCCCCATTCGTTGGCACTTTACGTGCTGCCTTGTACCTTTTGTTGGCATGTCATTGTTTTTCAAGTTTGTCTGACTTGATGGCATCTTTGTGACACTACGAGCCAGCTACCTACATCTGAACTCACGCTACTCCATACACTTCTCTGAGCCACTACCCCAATTATGCTGATTAATTACATGCATGTAGTAGGATAGGATTGGCTTTAATCATCTACTAATAAAGTAATTATTGGGAACTGGTGCTAAATGCATGTGATCAGATCCACTTTAATTGGAGGTGCTGGCTAAGCATCATGCATGTTAGCATTTGTCTTAACCACTACAGTTAACTATAGTACTCTGCACATGGGCTTTCAGAAAGTTAAAAAGTAACAAACAAGCACCTTGAGTCCTCCAAACTAGCACTCTCATGATATACTTTTCACTATAAGAGCACTGTAACTTTGCCTTCATTAGCTACAGTAAAATTGCAAGATCCAGACAGAAGCTTTGAAGAGAGTTTGGCACTTCACTAATCAATATAATAATCTAAGAAATCAATGATTCGATGATATTTAGGTAGAACTATAAAAATCGAATGGCTAGATGATGCTTATGTACAACTATGTCACTTTCATACTTGACAACTACAGGAGGATCCACCGGATCGATGTCTATTTTGTTTTTCCTGGGAATTTCTAGCTCATCTCTCATTTTTCTACCATGTTGTGCTTTTAATTGAGTATATGATTATAGATTATGGCCTATATTGTTCTCTGTAGGCAATAAAAATAAGGTTGATTTTTCAAAAGGTAAGACAACTGGAATAAGTTTTTCTGACCTGTGATTGGAGTAGACTGCACAAAACTGAAGGACATCATATCACCTATTCAAATAAGAAGTCTCGATATACTTTTCTTTTATATGCATGTCATGTTGTCATTTGGGACATATATATCATGTATGCCATAATCGTGGTTAGATGGACCATGTTTATTGTTTAAGAAAATGCAGCAAGTTGCAAACCAAACAGATGGGCATAGCTATCCAGCGGTTACCCGCCCAGGAGGAACCTGACAGCTACTTTCCGACAAACACACGAGGGATGTCGGAGCACGCACTGGACTTTCAAAAAAATATGACTACTAGTAATTATTTTTGTGAACTATCAAATTTAGCAGAAAAAAACTTAAAGCTAGTTTTAGGTCAAGTTTCGGAAATACACAAGTTCAGAAATTTAACAACTTACAGAAATTTGGACGCAACATTCAGCAATTTGCAGAAATGTTTGGAAATCTTTTAGAAAATTTCTCACAGCTTTTGAAAAAATCCTTGCAAATTACAGAAAATTTCTCACAACCTCCACATTAAAACCCACACAGCTTTTAAAATAAAAAAGGCAGACAAATGAACATAAGGGAGACACATCTTGGACCAGCAGACTGGAGTAGGCCATGGCCACAGCCTGCTTCCTCCAGATCTTCACACTGCTACAGAGCAAGACAGTTAACACCCCTCATCACACAAGGTTAGGGGAGAAGTGTGTGCAATCATGGCCAAAACATGATAATCTGTGATGAGGTAGGTTCGAGACGCTGGAGTGCAGAGGCTTACATCACATATGGGCACAAGGAATGAACCATTTGTGATGTGCATTGTCACATCCATCAAGCTTGGACACGCATCTGCTGACCTTCTGATTGGCATCAGCCGCTGGGGCAGAATTGCCGCATGACCTCTGCTTGGACTGCAGCCAATCGCGACAGCTGACCTTGTGCCTTGCGTATCCCTTTTTTGGATATTTTTTTTCATTTGTTGCTGGTGATTTCAAGTGTGGCCTTCACGAGCAGCAGTTCCAACATCAGGGCCTCAAGAGCGGTTGGTGAAGATAATATGGGAAGACAATGGGAAGCTCAACAATGCAGACAAGGAATAAGCAGGGCCTTCAATGCGATTGTGCCCTTTAAACTCTGTTCTACAGTAAGTTCTAACCATGTATGCTAGTAGCAGAGTAGAGTACTAAGAGTAATACCTTACTGAAATAATTAGTACTAACTGTTTGTAATATGGTTGTTCAAGTTATCCTAGATTGAAGTAGTGAGTTGTGATGTACTACTAGCTTACTGTCTATTATGCTGATGTATAGTTGTGTTTCAGTGGGTAATTCCAAATGGCTCTAATCCTTGGGTAAAATTCCATTGTCAGAACAGTATCTGTGGACCAAGCACAGGACATTACAGCCACTGGGGTGAATGGTAGGAGGAAGGGTACCTGCGCTGCTGGAGAGGAGGGCCGGGGGAAGCAGGATTTGCCGCCAGCGGAGATCCCAACAGTGACGGTGCCCACGCACAGATCAGTCACTAGTTTCATAAGTTCTCCACATAAGCAATTCAGCAGCAAGTAATCCTCTGCATAAGTGAAGTCCTGATTCAGTGTGGATATATGCCATTTGAAGATATAATGAATCAATTCGGAACCGTTAGATAAGCATCGACTATTTCAAGGGCAAGCTTACCATGGCTGCTAAATAAATACCTCATGTTACTAATATATTAATCACTGTGACTCTAGCCTACTGGGATAACAGAGATAAACCAAAGAAAGCAGACACCTTTCCATGTGGGTTTTTTCAAGAAAAGAAGGGGTCCTAGCCTCACTCCTGTATCATCTCAAAACTAAGTGTTAGTTATATTTTTCATGGTAGCACTGTGAATCCATTCTACATCCTACAGCAGTTAAGGGAACATACACTTTAACATTCTGTAGCAGAAGAAAATTGCACCTTGCTTGGCAACAAATGAGAAGGCGCCGGTTATTCGGGGAACAGAAACTCATAGTTGGCGA